GAGGTAGAATCAGTAACCAACCACATATAGTCAAGAGTGGCTCAGCTTGTTAGTACCAATAGGAATTCTTTCTTCCTTTCATGCAATTGTTCCTTTCCTTTCCTGATAAAAAGCCCTTGCCTTCTCTCTCCAATCAGGACACTATCTGAGTGTTTGCCTCAGAAACTATGTTTCCCCAAATTGTAATTATTTGATCCCAAATTATTGCTTGTTACCTCTCATTTTGGCTTTTGCATTTTAGGTTAAGAGTTTAAAAACTGGTAATGGAAACATGAGTTATACATCACATATGTTAATATGCTTATGCTTAAAATACGGCCCAGGAGAAGACCTGTAAGTAACAGGATCATTATAATAATAGCTGCCTGGTCATTATGCTCTACATCCAGTAGGCTGTTTAATTTTCACAAATACTAGAGGCCTGGTACACATTATGCTCTACATCCAGTAGGCTGTTTAATTTTCACAAATACTAGAGGCCTTCGTGCACAGGGTGTGTGTGTGTGTGTGTGTGCGTGTGTGTGTGTGTGTGTGTTTGTCTCCCTCAGCCCAGCCTGCACCCTCTCCAATCTGGGACCCCTCGAGGGATGTCCGACTGACTGTTTAGATCTGGTGGGATTGGGCATAAAGGGGCAGTTGGACATCCCTCTTACAATTCAGGACTGCTGGCTCCCAACCGCTTGCCTGCCTGCCTGGCCTGATTGCCCCTAACCACTCCCCTGCCAGCCTGATTGAGGCCTAACTGCCCTCCCCTGCCAGCCTGATCGACGCCTAACTGCCCTCCCTTGCCAGCCTGGTCTCCCCCAACTGCCCTTCCCTGCACCCCCAACTTCCCTCCTCTGCTGGCCTGGTCACTCCTAAGTGCCCTCCCTTGCTGTTCTGATCGCCCACAACTGCCCTCCCCTGCCGGGCATCTTGTGGTGGACATCTTCTGTCCACATGGGGGCAGCCACCTTGTGTGTTGGAGTGATGGTCAATTTGCATATTGCCTCTTTATTAGATAGGATTATAAGATAGGTGCTGTTGTCTCTCCATTTTGCAGACAAGGAGATTGAAGTAAATAAAAATCAATTCAATAAATTTTACTAAAAGCCTTCTCTTTGGAGGCACTATATGATCTAGAATCATACATTCACCTTCAACCCCATATCTACATCATGTCAAAGCCCAGCTGATGACTAACAGCTGGTAATCACCAAGCCATGATGCCACTTCACTATTGAAAGGGTCACTGCAAACTGGAGAAGCCCCACATACGAAACACCCAAACATAACTACCCTCCTTTATCTAACTGGTCCGAATGCCATTTGCTCCCAACTGGTCATCCTGTGTCATTCTGGGGCAGTTACATAAGAAATCACATTTTAAAAATGAGGTTGGCTTCACATGGATGATAAAACAGATGGGGTGCAGCTCACATTGATACTCATTTCACACGGATCAAACAAACATTGATTAAATAATGCTGACTTGTCTTTCTGCAACACATACTCATCCATCTGTATCTATCCATCTGACTGAACATTTAACAACACACAACGCAGGTCATCATTTTGGAGTTTGTAAGAATGCTGAGAGGAGTAAACTCAGTAAAGAAAAATGAATTACTAGTAGGTAGAGTAGAAGATCTTGTATTTTCAGGGAAAAAAACCTGGTTGAGCAAAATCAAATTTCAATTATCCATGTTAATGAGGCAAAGATATCATGGATGAATAAGACCCTAATTCTCGAAACCCACTGTCTAGGCTTTTCTTAGTGCTGGTGATGACACAATTGCTTTTCCTCTTTGTTTTCTGGCTTTTCTTACCGGGACCCTCCTAAAGAAAAATTAAAAGACCAACATAGAGAAAGATCAACACAGCTCTGAAGTGACAG